AAGGTGTCTGATTAATTCATCGATCTAATTACCACTCGGCTTACACTGGCGCTGCGAATTAATAAATAAAAGAACTGAATCAAATAATTTTTCTTTGTTGCGAAAAATTAAGAAAAAAACAAGAGAAGAGAAAAAAAATCCAAGGAGAAAAGAAAAATGCCAGAAAAATTGTGCATTATTGAAATTCATCAAAGAATAGTAAAAACAGTGGAAAATACCGTAGACAGAATCGTTCTTTTAGTGAAAAAACCAAAGCTTAAAAACGACTGAAATCATATTGTGAATAAATTTTCAAACAAATACGATTATTGTTAAGAATAAAATTGAGAACACAATCAAATAATTACGACCATTGTGAATAAAGTTTGTGCACGAAATCATTACCAAAAATTGAATCATGAACAAGCCAAACCAGCATCATAAAAAATAGCATTGCGAATAAAATTGTGAACAAACTGAAGAGAAAAAATAAATAACTAATAATTCACAAATAGCCAAAATCCGAACTGAAAATTTAGACAAATTAAAAAATCAAACAAATTGTAAAGAAAAAAAAAGAGAAACACTTTAAATAAAAGAGCTACAGTGCAACAGCAAATAAAGAGCAAACAAAATACGAACAAACATAGGAAAAGCGGACATAGGACAAGCCAATCATTACCCAAGAAGGAAGACATCAAAAACATCATAGACAAATAGAGAGCAAACATAATACGAGCGAGCATAAAAAGAGCTGACTTAAGACAAACCAACCATTATCAAAGAACGAAAACATCGACAACACCATAAAGTGAGTAAAATTTTCTATTCAAATACACATGAAGAAACAAGAAGATAAAGAAGATAGGTTGAAAATAAAAACTTTGCCTCAGTTACACGCTGAATTAAAATATTCTCAAAAACAACTGGAAAATTGTAAAAAGGTAGAAGGTAAAAAACGTGAAATCGATAGGATTGCTCGGAAAATAGCTAAGACCGAACAACTAATAAAAGAAAGAAAAGAAAAATTGTTAAATATACTTTCCCAAGAATCAGGTTCATTTATCAATAAAAAAGAGATTGAAAGAGAATTGGACAGTGAAGAAGAGGGTAATTTAGAAAATCCACTGGATGAACCGAGTGAAGAAATTATAGACGTTGAAAAGAACAGAAGTTTTAAAAACTTGGAACAATTCATCAACACAGAAATGATAAGAACTCCACCTTCTAAAGTACAGAAAACTTCTGAAACAGAGGGAAAAAACCCTGAATCAATCAATACGGAGAAGTCGGCACAAACTGCTGAAAATTTATCAGGTGCAATACCAAAAATTTCATCTTTTGCCCCGAATATTGCTGTTACACAATTTGAGATACCAAGAACTCCTCCTCCTTCAAAAAGAACTTTTTCGACGGATAATCTTCCTAACTTTACATTTTCTGATCTAAATCTTAAAAATTCTACTATGGAATCTGAAAACGCTTTAGGCGATAACCCTAAAAGAACTCAGGAAGAAACTGACGAAATGAATAAATTTTTTGAAAACATAAAAAATGCTGCAAAAGATGTCGATAATTCGAAATTGGAGGGTATTTTGAAGAAGAGAAAAATTACTAGTGTTTTTGATCAAAATATTGATCTTACTTTAGACCCGGTACCTTCTGAAATGTCTTTCGTTTCCTATAAACCAACGCCAGAGAGAATTAAGCCAACTGGTGTAAAATTCAGCGATAATTTAGCAATAAAAATTCCTTCCACCATAGAGGAAGTATCAGAAACAAACCTAAACGATATAACGACTTCTAATATTTCCCAATCTCAAAATTCAGAGAATAATTCAAATCAAACCGAAAATACGAATAGTTCTGCTTATCAATCTGCAAATAATTCTAGCCGCACGAATCAAAGCTATCAACGCTCTCATAACAATGATACCACATTACAGCAATATAATTCGTTTGAACAAAATAATATGCCTCATTCTACTCGTATCGATCAAAATCGCATATCTCAATTTTATGATAATCCTCCACCGACTTATTCATCTACTTTACAGCCTAATTATTCAGCTTCTTTACAAAATTCTGCACAACCAAATTTTTCTCAGACACATTATACATCCAATCCTACAAATTGTTCTCAGGGTATGTCTCAACCCAATTTTGCTCAAATCCATTATCCACCAAGCTTGATGCATAATGCAAATCCTTCACTTAACTATACTCAATCGCAATTCCAACAAAATCGTGGACAGCCAATGAGGTACGATCAAAATATAAGTCACCAACAATATAATGAATCACTATACCATTCAAATCGTTATCCCACATCAATGGATAATCCAATTGCATCAATTTCATCTAATGATACTCGCAGTAATTCAAGCTCAATGTACGTAAACGATAATAGCATTCGTGAAAGAAACGAACGTGGAAACAGAGATTTCTTACGCAACGAAGGACAAAGTTCTCTATCTTTTAATCGAAATAATCAGGACAATTGGCTACCTGAACGTACACAGTCTAATTTACAAAATCAATCTGGTTTTATGCCATTTAATAATTCAAACATGTCTACAATTCAACTGCCAGTGCGCCAACAATTCTTACGTCGTCTTAAACTCATACCTAAATTTGATGGAGCAACTCACAAAGAATTGGTCGATTTCATCGATATTTGTGACACTCTTTACGAGTCATGCATGAATGAGTATGAAGAAAATGAATATTACGAGCAAATGGCGCTCCAATTAAGGGGAGAGGCTAGACAAGTACTAGTTAATCTCAGAGAACCAAGTTGGTCGGCAATCAAAGAAAGAATCTATATTCAATTCAAACATTTAGCCAATAAAGACGTACTTAACAGTCAATTAGAAAATCTTAAACAAGAGAAAGAAGAATCATTGACTAAATTTGCAGAAAGAGCACGGAAACTGTTGCAAGAGAAAAATGCAGCGTATAAATATTTAACAGAAGATCAAAAAATTGAACACAATAGGATTGCTCGGAAAGCATTTTCCAGAGGTATCACAGATACCAGGTTACGTAATAGATTGATCACTCGTGGAGCAAGCTCTTTAGAGGATGCAGTAGCATATGCTATTGAAGCAGAAAACGATGCGTTATATCAAATACCTAGGCACGAGCTGTTCTGTGGACACTGTAGATTAACAGGTCATCGTGAACGTGATTGTCGCAATAGAATTGGCGGTAACAACGGCATTAGTGGTTTAATCACAGCTCTTCAATCTTTCAATACAAATCAATCATTCAATCGATTCGGCAATAATAATTTCAATCGTTTCAATCGAAACAGAATCCTAAACAATAACAATCGTTTCAATGGAAATTGGAATAATGGTAATCGTTTCAATGGAAATTGGAACAGTAGTAATCGTTTTAATGGAAACTGGAATAATAATAATCGCTTCAATGGAGATCGTTTTAATTGGAATAATAGAAATCGCTTCAGTGGAAGTTGGAATTCGGGTAATATATTTGATCAAAACAATGGCAATCAAAACTGGTCATCTCGCAATGAAAATCGTCCAACCAATAATCAATTCAATGGCGACAATCCTTCATACAATCGTAACTGGGGTAACAACAATCAAAATAACAGACCTCAAAATAATCAAAACAATCAGAATCAGAACAAGCCACAACGTACTTTTGATAATCGCAACAATCAAAGATTCAACAATAACAATGCTGTCGAAGCGGCAATTGAAGTTGTTCATCAGGATACCCAATCGGAAAACTAAATGGGATGAAGCAAGAAGGCCGACTTGTTTCATCCACAAATTCTGACATAAATATTAATTTTAGAACTTCCGATAATGATGAAAATATATTAAATACACTGAAAAACCTTCAAAAAATATCACAGAATCAAGTTAATGACAAAAAACAAATTTCCCATCGCATTTATAACGAAAAGGGAGCACCGTTCATATACGTAAAAACCAATTTGAATAAAAGGCCAATTAAATTATTAGTTGACACAGGGGCAACGATTACGATTTTGGCAAGTGATTTAGTGCCACAAGATATTGAAAAAACTAATTATATTGTGAATTTATATGGAATAGTAGGCAAAGACGTTTCAATTAAAACAGAAGGATTGATACATGGAATTTTAGAAATGGACGAACACCCTTTAGGCACTATCTTACATTTGGTAGATAGGAAATTTTCGGGTCCCGCGGACGGTTATCTTGGCTGGGATTTCTTATCTCAATATCAAGTGACAGTGGACTTGAATAATATGGAATTAAAAATAAATTTAGACAAAATAATTAAATCACAAAATAACGAACCTGACCAAAAACTTGAAATAAAAATTGATGAGAAACGAAAAGAAGATAAAATAACAAATGAATCAAATGATATAAATTTTTTGCATATATTGGCCCAGTTATATGAATTTCCCACAGAGGATGAAAAACGAAAGAAACAAAAAACAGAAAAAGTGATGACAAAAAAGCAAAGAAAAATGTTGGATAAAGAACGAATTTTTGAAAAAAGCGATTATCACGATTATGTAGATGCAATGAATTGTTATAAAAAAGAATTTAAAAAAGTAAATGAAGAAAAAGTTAACCCGAGTATGATCGATGAAGAAAATCTGGAATATGTTTCTCTATTCAAAATGAATGACAGAGAAAAAACAGAATGGTTCAATAAAAGTGGTTCTGATTATTCTCGAGCAAAGTTAGTGTATAATGAATTGAAACTAAAAGAACTCTCAGAAGAGTGTAAAGATACGGTTAAAAAAGTGTGTGCTGACTTTCCATTTCAATTTTATGTCAGTGGAGATACGTTAGGTGTCACTGAAGTAATTAGACATAAAATCTATTTGGTTCCTAACAGCAAAATTATTAACGTTCGACAGTATCGTATCCCTCAATCTCATCGCACAATTATGGACAGAATCGTGGACGAATACGAGAATATGGGTATAATTGAAAAATGCCAATCACCATATAATTCACCTGCGATCCTAGTGAGCAAAAAGGATGATTTTGGGGGAATGAGCGATTTTCGTTTTGTTGTCGACTATAGGAAACTGAATGAGATTACAGAGATTCAATACTTTCCGATTCCACTTATTGACGATATTTTAAACGCATTAAGTGGCTGCACATACTTCACAACACTTGACATCAAAAATGCCTTCCATCAGATTCTTGTCGATGAAGATTCTCGAGATTATACAGCCTTTACAACGGGAAAATTTCAATACCGATGGGTACGAATGCCGTTTGGGCTATCATCTGCACCATTAACGTGGCAAAAGGCTATTAATATCATTCTTAGCGAGTTAATAGGCTATGGTGTATATGTTTATCTCGACGATGTAATCATTTATGCCAAATCGAAAACGGAACATGATGAACTTCTGTGGAAAGTTATGTCATTACTAAAACAACACAAATTACAATTAAAAATTTCGAAATGTCTATTTTACGCGAAAGAGTTTGAATATCTTGGTCATATCATTTCTAGTAAAGGTATGAAGGCTAATCCAAGAAAAATACAAGCAATAAAAAATTATCCTCGACCTACCAAAGTCAAGGATATACAATCTTTCTTAGGATTATGCAATTATTTTCGTCGTTATGTTAAGAATTTTGCAAAAATTTCTAAGCCACTGACTTCACTTCTTAAAATCAATCAACCTTTTATTTGGACATATGCTCAACAAGATGCGTTTGACGCACTCAAAAAAGCTTTGATCGACAAAGTTATGCTTCAATTTCCTAATTTTAATGAGTTATTTTACGTAACAACCGATGCTTCCAATGTGGCAATAGGAGCAATGTTGTCCCAGGGAGAACTTCCTTATGATCGACCAATCAATTTTTTTAGCAAGGTGCTAAACGAAGCGCAAAAAAGATATTCAACAATTGAAAAAGAATTACTAGCTATAGTAGAGGCAATTAAAGCATTTAGAGTTTATTTATATGGAAGATTTTTTATACTAATAACTGACCACAAGGCTTTATGTTATTTATTCTCTATGAGAGACTGTAGCTCACGTCTTTTTCGCCAAAAAATAGAATTGATGGATTACAATTTTAAAATATTATACAGACCAGGTGCACAAAACCATGTCGCGGATGCATTATCACGTATAGAACCAATTTCGATTGAAGAATTGATAGAAATTGAAAAAGAAAGAGAATGCTTTGCAGTTACTCGTGCTCAGAGAAATAAAGAACAGGATAAACAAATCAAAAGAAGCATGATAGAAGAGAAAGATGGTACAATTTTAAGGAAAAGCCATTTTGATCTTATTTTTCATCTTGTTCCAATAGAATCTGACACGTTACGTAATAAAATATCAGACAAATTTGGCATAGCCAATTTTGATAGAACGTTTCAAAAAATACAAAATTGCCATTATTACAGACTGATATCGAATCAATTTGCAAACAAAAATAATACATCGGAGACACTAAAATGCATCAAGGATATATTAGATTTATGTCTAACAGTAAGTGCCGAAAACATTGCTATAAATATAGATTATGACAATGTTAGACACTACATGTTTTTTAAACAAGCGTTTGAACAAATCTTTTTACCACATGAAATAGCAATCACCTTTTATTTGAATAAAATAATCGAGTTGATAGAACGAGAGGATATAGAAGAAATATTGAAACTTTATCACGAAACGCTGCTAAGCGGACATTTAGGTGTCGAGAAAATGCAAAAAACTATATCTAAATTCTACACTTGGAATAATATGACAAATGACATAAAAAACTATGTTAAAAACTGTCCGGTGTGCGAAAAAACGAAAGTTATTACGAACAATAAAGTACCAATGCAAATATCAAGTTTGGGAGAGGTATTGTTCGACCATACTTATATTGATTTTGTGGGTCCAATCCAGCAAACTGAACAGGGTAATAAGTATATTTTCACTTCTATTTGTGACCTCACTCACCTGTTGGTTGCTTGCCCTACAGCGGATTGTACAGCTATAACAGCAGCACAATGCTTACTGGAGCATGTAATTTGTCGCTATAATTTTCCTTCACGGTTAATATCAGATAATGCAACCAGTTTTACTTCTCAAATCATAAAAGAACTTACTAATATATTTTCAATTAAAAAAATCTTCACATCTAATTACCATCCGGCCAGTAATGTAGTTGAACGGAGTCATAAAACTTTGGGGAGCTTTTTACGTGCTTACACTGATAAAAATCGCAATAACTGGGACGAGTTACTTAAATTTGCAACATTTGCATATAATAATTCAGTACACTCGTCATCAGGGTATACTCCTCATGAATTGGCACATGGTTTTAAAATCAAAATACCAAATCACTTAACAAAACCGAAGTTGACATACAATTATGATAATTTCGCAGAAATGACTAAAGCCAATATAGCAAAAGCTCTGGAGATAGCAAAAGAAAACTTGATTAACAAGAAATTGCAAAACAAAAAATATTATGACAGAAATGCTAAAGATTGTGAAATAAATATCAATGATTTGGTGCTGATTAAAAGTCAAGTTAAAAAACACAAATTTCAGGACGTTTACGAAGGCCCTTTTCCAGTTATCAACGCGGAAGAGGTATACGTGGAAGTTTTGAAAAATGGAAAGCGTTATAAAGTTCATAAAAATCTTATTAAAAAGGCAAAAGCTCAACATGATTAAATATTATATTTTGTTAATAATATTATACTTGTTTGGCACTAATAAAACACATTCTTTTTATAGCAATGTCAGTATCCAACATCGTCAACCCGAGTAGGAAAAAGGAAAGTTTCTTTTCACAAATAAAAAATAGTTACTTACGGAAAAAGTTTGTAAGAGTAAACCTAAATAAACTTAAAGCTTTCGACTTGGTTCCTACTATTTATGATACGATTGGCAAACTAACTTTTGAAAAATACATCAAACGCCAGGAAAACTATCAACAAATTAAAAAATACTGGGACGGATTTACATTATGCAAGAAAATACAAGAGTATCAGTTTCTTATAAAACGTCCGGGGATAATTAATCAAACGTTGGAATTAGCAACAAGCTTCAAACCAAAAACGGATGTTGCACAAATACTATTTGACTATGAGTTTGATGGAAACAAAAGGGATTTTTGGCGGTTTTTAATAAGATGGGAAGACTCTTTAATTGTCAACTTGAAGGAATCTAGGACATGCGCACAATTTTTATGGGATCTGGATAATAATAACAAAATTATTGAAGAAATATTAAATGAAATTTTCAACGAATTAAATGATAAACAACAATAAAATAAAGATAAAAAAAAGAGAACATTAATTAATAAAACACAATTTATTTTAGATAAAAACACAAAAATTTTTCAATAGAAATAATTCCTAACTCTGGAAAATACAATATAATTTTCTCTTCTTGATATTGAAATCATATTAACCAATATTTTTATATCAAATCATAGTTGGGATTTTTTCTTTTCGGCTTAAATTTAAACTAATGATATTATTTTCAGAATGGAATTCGTAGAAATACAACAATTTGAAAATATGGATTTCGATTGGGATTGGAATCACTATTCTGAAGAAAATTTGGATCTCCCATGGATTAACTTTGAATCTTACATAAATGAAAACAATATGAAAACTTCCTATGAAAAGGCTATCCATTTCTTCAATCATGCAGTGGTGGACTTTTGGAAGTATTTCGATTTGTTAGGAATAATAACACTAGCTTCATTATTTAGGAAAGCAGCGTACCAAGCATACTATAATAACTACT